CTGAGCTTCCAAGCTCTCTCGTTTCTGACGTGACGCGAAAGTTCAGGCGTTATTTGCTCACACGTCGAAAAATCAACTCGATTGACCTGCTGCTCACGTCGAAATTTGGAGTTTTACGCCAAATTTGACGTGAAATTGCGCGTCACGTCGGAAATACGTGCATCTTAACCTCTCTAATGGGTCCATCTCTCGTGATATCACATGAAAAGGACGTGCTCAAACCTGCGGCGACTAAATTGTCGAAATGGCAACTAAACTTTCTGGAACATAAGTTGCAGCTAGCCCCATATCGTGAAGTCTAGTGTATCATGCCTGATCATTGGTCACTCAGGCAACATAACATCATCAAAATAGTATATCATAGCATCGTGAAAATCATCATGCTAATCAACCTGATTTTCCAGATTGTGATTCCGTTTGTGATTGTTTATCAACTCGATAACATCTGTCGATCTGCATGTAACGCGGTGGTCGGCGCAAGGCCAGTTCCAGGGACGCAAACATATCGATCACACAAATTTTGTTGTTCTGCACTTGTGCAGAGCTACCTTGCTGCTCCTCTACGAATGGCCATCGTTTTCCTGAATGTAGCCATGACTCTATGTGGAGGTGATGTGAATACTATTCAGGTGAGGTAATGTTGGTATGGCGGTGGTTTGTTCTTAGCACCATTGTGTACTCTGTACCAGCACTCGTTTTTGGACACAAACATATCATTCGTATTTTGGGCCCATTTCGAGGTGGTCTTAAAGTAGCAAGGTGTTCGTCAGTTGTGCGACAAATCCTTTTGTATGGTTGTTGTGGACATCAAAAGAAACATACTTGCATATTTCGAGCGAAAGAGAGGAGGTGGCCCAGCCCAGCACTCCTGGCTTTCACATACCTGCTCTCTTGAAAACCGGGCTTTCGGAAGTGTTCTGGAATGATTTGTTTGATACTAGAATTGGAAACTACATGAATACAGAATTCTACAAAAACGTTTGCGTGGAAGAATTGATTCACAGAACATGATATAGGATAGATGTGTGCGGTGATGTATTATGTACTGCTACCTGGACACTGACGAAACGTAAGCTAGAAACAAAGGTGTTTGTAAAGTAAAATAGTTTTTCCTACTTACAGCTAAAAGGTCGTAGGATCGGCTGATTTTTATCATTATTTCACAATCACGATGACATAGTGCCAATAAGCATGTGATGCGGGCAATTTTAACCTGCCATGGTGATGCTATAAGCAAAGGTGTGATTTTATATCTCACAGCAAGTAAGTAGATGTACACAAGCCGAGTAAAACAGACAACGATTGGACGCCATTTTTATGAATGTTTACGTGTGCTGTAAATATATCACATCTTTATGTGTGAGCGCATGCTCGTGCCAGGAGTTAGAGGCTATTTCGTGCACACATAACAAATTTAAAGTTTGTTTTCTATGTAGGTTCGGGCTTGAGTCCACGCCTTTGAGTATTCCCCTGAATGACTTTTTCTTGTATATCCAGGTTCTGGTTAAGGTCGATTTTTCTCGATCTGTTGACATACTATCTACGCGACCTGCTACTCTTTGAACGATCCTATGAGTGCTTGTGTTCGTGAAAATGTAGAGTTGATGACTGCGGGAACAACGCGCCACATGTCTTGCATTTCTAAGGCATATCTCTAGTATAAAATCGTTCATAAACACGAAGATGTGACGACTGCTTGAACAATGATGCACATGTCTCGCACCTGTAAATGCTATCATGCAAGTGACAGGGCTGGCGTCTGCATTAGATGTTGTCAGTGTTTCTATACCCGCAACTGACGGACTGCACGGAGATGATCTACAACTAATGATACTGAACTAAAACAATAGAAAGATTCATCAAGAGGCAGCAGCGGACCGCCGGGACATTAGTGTTGCGCAATACAAATTTAGTCTGGATATACTAGAATTGAAAAGAAATCGATAACAGGCCTTTTTCACACTTGATTGATCTTCTATACATATTACAAAGAAATGAAGCACTAGTTCACCTATCAAGAATGTTCTTAGCGGACTTAACATGTACAGAGCAAAGTGATGGTAACATAGAGCAAGGCTGGCTATCGCCCCTCCGTCCATATTGGCCTATATACCCTGGCAACGCGAATGTGAAATTATTATTACTATTAACAGCCTTTTCACGTTTACATCGCCAAGCAAGCTTAGCCAGTCCTCGCTTAGGCTAACTCGAAAGAAGAATGCGGAAAGAGTGGGGTCAATGCAGTGCTAATAGTAATCCGCATGCGACTTCAGAACCGGAAAGAAAGACAAATATATAAAAACAGTGCAAAAGCACACGAACTGTCACCTTTTTACTTCAACGACACAGAAACCTTTACTTTGGAATGCTCTGCCCTTTGAAATGAAGTCTTGTAATACATATTCTGCATTTAACGCCCAGCTTGCCTGCCTTCTTATGACGGGCCACAATGTACCCGGTTAAAACAGCTCCTTTTTGAAAAAATTTTCAATGAGTCATGTTTCGCTTTACTTTCTATTTTATTCATTTATTTCACCTTCTCGTGGCAGAGAATATAGGCCAATATGGAGGGAGGGGGGGGGGGCGTAGCCAGCCATGGCAGTAAACAAAAACAAAGCAAAAATTAATAAATATTACACATTACTGGAGGCAAAGACAAAACAAATCTGGATGAAGAATAAGCAGCTATTAGAACACGAGCTTCATGTTGGCCTTGAAATCCTTTAGCGTACAAGACGATTTTACTGATAGAGGCAGGGCCAGCCAGAGAGAATAGGCAGCTAAAAACGGAGATCTGGTACATGTAAAAGCTGATGTTCGGGCTTTAAGTAAAGTGCAGGGATTGCGCATAGGACGAGTGGGAAGAAACCAGTTATATTTACGCAAGTGTGGCGGGGCTTTGTCAAGACGAATAGAATTAACAACAATACACGGTTTTCGATCCGCTTGACTAGAGATAGGGAAAGTGTTAAACATATCATACAGCTCGGCAGAAGGAAAGTATGATGGTTTGCGGAAGAGGACTTTGAGTATCCTCTTATTGTGGACTTCCAGGGTACTCATTAACGATTTACTTAGTAGGGATGACCAGGCGGTTGAGCAATAGAGAAAAATGGGGAGAATATAGCAATGATAAAAGGCGAATGCATTCAAGCGGTAGGTGGGAGCAGTGAGACACGAGGTAGCCAGAAGCTTTACTGACTTTGCTACAGACATAGTCGACATGTCTGCTAAACGATAAGTCTGAGTCAATGACCAAACCAAGATGCTTGTGTTGTTTTACCATTGTGAGGTCTGTGAGGGATCCGGGAAGAGTGAATGCATAGATTGGCTCTGAGTTCGGCTGGAATAATATCTCAGTCTTGGCGATATTAGGTCAGTCTCCAGGTAGTCATCCACTGATGGACTTAGTCTGTAATCCACTCCAGCGCTGAGCCACACACACCGAACTCTTTGGAAAGTTTACCAAGTAATGCACCCTGCCACACGGTGTCGAAAGCTTTCTCGAGGTCGACAAAGCACATGGCAACTTTCCGCCCCATATGACGATGGTCGGCAATGTTTTCGATCAGCTTGGTGAGCTGTAGAGCGATCGAGTCACCACGACGAAACCCAGATTGCGCGGGATTCAGAGCAGGAGAAATATGATTATAAAGTTGATTGAAGAAGAGCCATTCGCAAAGTTTTGAAATACAGGACAGGAGCGAAATTGGGCGATAGTTACTAGCTTGAGATTTGGTGCCTTTGCACTTGTAAATAGGCACAATTTTAGCCAGTTTCCAGTCAGTAGGGAACTTGCCTGTGGTAAAGGAGAGGTTAAATAGGCGGCTAAGTGGAAAATAAATCGCAGTAGCTTTGTTTTGCTTTAATTGATGCTTTTCTCCAATGTCATGCAGCAGTATTCATACAGCTTTTATTTCTTGTGTACTTGCATACTGGTATTAGTTTAGTCCCAAAACCTGCGATAAAATAATCAGCTGTAGCACCTACTCCACTTTTATGTTTATGTATCTATGTCATTCGGATCTTCCCAACTTCCCAAGTACATTATACTGTTGAGATACCGAATTCAAATAAATCAATATCAATTCCAAAACCAATACCAAAACCAAAACCAAAACCCGAAAACAACTGAGTACTATACTTTATCAGTCCCATAGTATTGACTCCCATTGATTTTCGCTATACCTAAGCAGTCAAATATTCCTGCATATTTCTCTCCTTTGGGCTATAGTGACTGCTTATATTGTGCAGTTGAACGGTGCCTAGTGCAGCATTGTCACTGGCCCTGCATGAGTAAGCGGTGGTGCAACGTTTGTGCAATCATTCAACCGGGATTCATGAGGTTATCGTTCTGGAATTTGAAACACGGACTATTTGTCGTGGTAGATCTAATATTGACTTCGTACTTGGTCAGTATAGGAAATAAAAACTTCGAAAAAGACCTCGGCTTCGCCTCGGTCTTTTACTCGGCTTTTTTTTCCTATAATCACCTCGTACTCAGTCAATATTAGATACGAATGATACATTTACAGATAATTGACGTACAGAGTTTCAATAGCCGCTGACATAACACACGGTACTGTAAAACCGGAAAGTCTAACGAGCACAAAGTTTAAAGTTTTTGTAATAGTGGCATGATAACTGCCAGAAAATTCACCAATGGCTACCTTGCCACCCAGAACATGCATCGATATATGCGCATCTTTACACACCGGGTTTTGGATAACGTTTCTTCAAATGGAGAATAAAAATCGGTCGTTAAAACGTTAGACTTTGTGACTCGTTAGGCTGTCCGGTTTTACATAACAAAAGTGCACTTTTACTGATAGACTAGTCAACAGTGTAGCTGAGAACTACGAAGTGGAAATCTACACAACAAGAGGAAGGTGAAATAAATAATGTGAAGTGTATTTTCTTTATTGTTAGAAGTCATTGTGTTCAAACAATTACTCTGCACTCTGCTAGAGGGAATCCACAAGGTGTACCCTGCAATCGCCACACAAAGTAGTCAATGGCTACCCCAGCCATGTATTACTTGGAATATGACTAAAATAAATGAAATCAATGTGTATGGAGTTTTTGATATTTTTATCCACTAGCAGGGCTGTATTTCCATGTAAGGGGACTCGATCTTCTGTTAGCTAAATATCCTACTGTTTTGCAGAGCTGAAAGTATATTTAGATCTCTCTTCTTGCAGATCAAACTGTCCAAACAGTTCCCTATTTGAACCCGGAGTAGGATCGTTAACCGGTTACTTGAAAAAAAAAGGTAGTACACTTGTAAAAGCGAGAATTAGAAAGTGTTTTCGAATGATTTGTACGAGACCAAATTTGGAGAGCACATGATGAATAAAGAACTCTTCAAAGCGATTGCGTGGAAGAATTGATTCACAAAACCTGAGTTATGATAGACGTGTGCAGCGATGTATTAAGTTCTGCTATTTGTACTGTGACGAGACGTAAGCTAGAAACAAAGGTGTTTGTAAGGTGAAAACAATTTGTCCTGTGGCAGGATTGTCGAAATATGGGATGTTGCTATAGGCAAAAGTGTGATTTGTATTAGATGGCAAACAAGGAGATGTACACAAGTCTAGTAAGATAAGCAATGATTGCTCATTTTTAGTATAAATGTGTTCTTGTGGTGTAAACGTTCAACAAGTAAACTATGAACCGAAATTGTGGCCTGACAGCTTTCACATCTGTATGTGTAAGCGCACGCTTATGGAGTGAATGTGTGAGCTGGATGTTTGAGCACAATATATGTGTGGAGCTTGTCTACCGTTTTCGTTGGGGCATGAGGACACGATATAGGGAGTTCCAGGGATGACCTTTTCTTGCTTATTCACGTTCTTGATCAAGTTAATGTATTGGTCTGTTGCAATACGATCCACGCGACTTGCTCCGCTATCAACGATCCAGTGTGTGAATGCGTTCATGAGAATGTAGAGTTTATAGCTGCGTGAACGACGCTCCACATGTCCTGCATCTGTAAGGCCCATCTCTAGTATGAATACGTTCATGAACTCGAAGATGTGACGACCGCATGAACGATGATTCACATGTTTCGCACTTTTAAGGCCTTTCACCTGTGTGAGTACGTTCATGTCGACGTTGATTTGAAGAACTTGTGAATGATACTTGACAAACTTTGCACGTGAATGGTTTCTCACCGGTATGAATACGTCGGTGTCTGAGTAAACTGCTTGATCGAGAAAAGTATTTGCTGCATACATCACACTTGAACGGTCGCTCACGGGTATGAACACGCTCGTGCTCACGTAGTCTGGATTCCCAACAAAACTCTTTCGGACAATACCGACACTTCAGTAACGTTTTAAACATAGAACGCGTCTCTCGATCTGGAACTGAAGTGGCAGCCGAAGACCCTACAGGATCCTGTCGGATATTACGGCCCCGTCCTACTTGCCTCCTGGTCTCATCCACTTCATTAGCCGTATCTATTTTTCGTGGTTCAGAAATTCCCACGCCATCAAATGGAATGCCGGCTAAAGATGCACTGGTTGGCGGTTTCAGCAGCAGTTGTCCAGGTGGTACTCGATGAGCATTGCCACAACACGTTGAAGATGAGTCTCTTCCCTCGCTAATCTTACTAGATATACCGGATGTTGCCTCTTTCTTCTCTTCTTCGTAGGCGTTATGATGAATAAACGTGTTTGTTGATGATGTCACATCACACGGGTTCACTGTTACAGCAGCAACCCTGGCAGTGGAGACATTCCATGCCGCCATATCAGCCACAACCTCTGCAGCAAGACTATGTTTATCTTGGTATTGGTACCTGCTACATGTATTACGTGCAACAGGTGGGTCTTCGTTGAGGTAGATGATCAACTCTCTGATTTTGTCTTCGCTCCACAGCATATCAACATCAGTGGATACAACATCGGTCCAAAGATCCTTCTGCTGATCGCTGATCTGCATACCGCTGTGAAAGGAAACAAACGTAAACAATAGTACTGCTGTTGTTCAATTTTAACGGACTCTACGCACGTAAATGGGGCAAAGCCATATGCTTATGAAATTGGAAAAACCATTCGATACGACTTTCTAGAACAAAATAATAAGTATTCCAACCTTGCACGTTTGGACAACAGTATGGCTACGGGTCATGATTAACATTCCACCCCTATTGTTTAGCCAGAAACTGCAATAATCAGACAGAACCTCAAATACCTGGGAGTGATCACTCGAATACTTGTCATGAGTGACAATCCTCCACATGCTTGGCCAAGAAGTGCAACAAATTCGCACATCATTGACATGGCAAAAGGACCCTCACCCACCTAATATCTACCATCAAAGCGAAGCTTAATAATATTAACACCTTTACTCCCAAAACCCTATCCATAGCAACATAATACATTCAAGATTTCAGAATACTGGTGAGTGTGGCCAATTAGAACAATTGACAGATCAGCAATTTAGTTCCGACTTACATCGCTTCCTGAGCAGGTCCTTTTTGGAATGAAGCTTCCGGAGAAATTATTAAAGGGAAACTTCCAACTGGGCGAACAGATGGCATTGGCGTTGCGGGAATGCATGGCGAGGTATATACTCCTCCTATACCACCCAAAGTCGGAATCTGTATTTGGATACAATGTGAAAGTGTGCGTTTTTCATGATCATATTTATTATCACATGTATACTTCACTGATGTCAATTTGAGTCACATCTTGGTTGTTCAATAAAAGCACCTACGTGTTTCATGGCCCATTGCTACAACGATGGATCCTGTTGATGGGCATACGAAAACTTGTTCGAATCGTTCTTCACTTTTCCCTATTGTACATTCTTTTCACATTGATATTGCAAAATATTTCCATCGATTATCACAGATTATCACAGGTTCAATAAAATAGCCCTATGTCTGTTCAGCTTGTTCTCTTCACAGTTTGTTCATTGACGCCCATAGTTAATTGATGTATAACCCCGGAGAATTCGCGAGGTGGGTGTGAGGATCAAACCCTCTTCCTATTATTTATAATACACACTCTAGGTGTTATGACTGCTGTGTGAAGAGTATCTCTCCCCCCCCCACCCCTCAACTGTATTGAGTTGCATTTGTTTGGAACCTCATTGTAAAGAATACATACTGCCTTCACATAGTGTCCACGTCCTTGTCCAGAATCACAAACTGTCCGAGTAGACGCGGGCCTTGAAATGTTCTTTGAGCAGTGTCCACGTCGATGTCCAAGGTCACTTAATGTCCGAGTAGAAGCCGGCCTTGAAATGTGCTTTGAGCAGTAGTCTTCTGGCGTCGTGTATTCGTCACCATCCGTCGAGAATTCGTCACCAGACAGTCTCTGTGTATGTCTTTCTCGGGGAACTCCGGCACTTGTTTGGACACGTGACTGGGTTTGCGGAGGGTTGAGGGTGGTAGTCTGCACTGTTTGTTCCATAGTAGCCGCGTCCCTCGCTTTCTGCTCGTTGATACTATACTCGTATGGTACGTCCTCGCCAAGGCAAATAGATATCGCTCGATCAATATTTTCTTGGCTCCAGCAATTATGCTCATCTTTGGCTACATTTCCTTGATCGCTGCGTTGGGAATCGCTGTTCTCCCGGTGATCCATAGCACTTTGCCCGTATAATTTAATCACGAGAGGAAACTTATTCGGATTGCCGAATATGAAGAGAACCACACTTCTAAAGAAACTGGCTGGCAGCCGAACACACAAACATGAAACTATAAACTCCAAAACTCAACTCAGGCCAGATTATCATAAGGAACACGGTTTATAATCCATAGACATATAACTATGTCATTCAGACTATAATGCGGAAACTTTGAACGTTTCACCATCAATTGGTATTTTCTTCAAAAAATGAGTTGCAGAAATCTTAACCTTGTTTAAATCATTATCTTACGTGACATAATTATTACGTTTCGTAGGGGTGACGAGTGTAGCACGCCATTGTTCAAAGTGTAAAATCTCACGAGAACCAAGTCTAATTATGGACCTTGATAAGCAGTTCCAGTTGTTGTACATACTGATATGAGCAGACAACGGAATGTTTTGAAGCAGACTACGAGAGTGCTAAAATATAAAGATAAGATTTTTATTTCCTAGATGAGGTGCTAGCCACACAAAATTCCCCAAGGAGAGATATTGTTCGCGAAGTAACGTGCTGATATTTTTGGGGTCTCGTGCTCGTACCTTTTGTGATCTGAGTTGCTGGAGTTCGCAGGAGGTAGCGAGGTGTGGATTGGCCTCAGGTCCTGTGAGGAGCGAGTGAAAGTCCAGCAAAAATTGTCTCTAAAAGGTCGATACTCTAATCAGTGGCAACGCAGGGCTGTTTGACCGCGCAGAGTGTGGCCTCAGCCCCACTATATTGTTTTGAGATCATCACTCTACCTGGACGCAGCAAAACAGACTTTTATCACAGCATGTGTTTATGTAATAGTGTGTGATATCAAACATGCATGGACCTGATCCATTCAGCTCTCCATTATCAATTCACGATAAGCCCTGCGCGTATTTTGTAGACTAAGATAGTATATCTTCGCAGCCCCCTTGGATTGCGCTTATAATAGTGACTGGACTTCTACCAAAGACTGCGCTTGTAATATAAATAGTACGGTATAGATCAGATGGATGTGAAGATGTTATGTATCATTGAAATCAACAATATTCCCTTGGTCTATGTTGCCCCTGCAACACAATAATCCACATCCGTGGCCGCAACATACAATCACAGTTGGCATCCTAAAATATGCACGAAACAAAAGACCAACTTACGAGATACTTGAGATAGCCGTCAATGTACTTCTTTACCCAACGGGTCCCTCTCTAGTGAGAGCACATGAAAAGCACGTCTATCCCCATATCGCGAAGTCTAGTGTATCATGCCGGATCATTGGTCACTCAGACAACATAACATCATCATCATAGCGTCGTTAAAATCCTGATGCTAATCAACCTGATTTTGCAGATTGTGATTCCGTTCGTGATTGTTTATCAACTCGATAACATGTGTGGATCTGCATGTAACGCGGTGGTCGGCGCAAGGCCAGTTCCAGGGACGCAAACATATCGATCACACACATGTTGTTGTTCTGCAATTGTGCAGAGCTACCTTGCTGCTCCTCTATGAATGGCCATCGTTTTCCTGGATATCGCCATGACTCTATGTGGAGGTGATGCGAATACTATTCAGGTGAGGTAATGTTGGCATGGCGGTCGTTTGTTCTTAGCACCATTGTGTACTCTGTACCAGCACTCGTTTTTGGACGCAAAAATATTATTACTTGTACGTATTTTGGGCCCATTTCGAGGTGGTCTAAAAGTCCCAAGGTGTTCGTCAGTTTTGCAACAAATCCTTTGTATGGTTGTTTTGGACATCAAAAGAACAAACTTGCATAATTCGAGCGAAAGAGAGGAGGTGGCCCAGCCCAGCACTCCCGGCGTTCACATACCTGCTCTCTTGAAAAGCGGGCTTTCGGAAGTGTTCTGGAATGATTTGTTAGATGCTAGAATTGGAAACTACATGAATACAGAATTCTACAAAAAAGTTTGCGTGAAAGAAATGATTCACAGAACATGATATGGGATAGATGTGTGCAGCGATGTAGTATGTACTGCTACGTGGACACTGACGAGACGTAAGCTAGAAACAAAGGTGTTTGTAAGGTAAAACAAACTGTCCTACTTGCAGCAAGACTCAGACTCGAATGAATGAGCCAGCTGCTCATTGCCGGCATTTACGCCAAATCTTCTTCACGCATCCTGGTGTTACCCTTCTGCAAGCTCACCTCCTGCTGCAGTGAAGAAGTACCATGACCGTCTGTTTGCTGCTTACAGCAATGTGCAGTTCTGCATAAAGGAGACCAATGAAGAGAACGAATAAAAAAACTACATAGAGTTCAGCATAAAGATGGTCAATTTGCAAGATTCGTACTTTCTCTTCATTGGTCTCCTCTATGCAGAACTGCACTTTGCTGTAAGTAGCACACAGACTGTCATGGTACTTCTTCACTGAAGCAGGAAGTGAGCTTGCTCTGCCCCTATGCTGCATATCCACAGTAGGAAAAACAGTAGCCAAACTAGGTGAGGCAACAGGTACCACTTCAAGTAGTAGCGCAAGCTAGAGATATCAGCTCCATGTAGTTGCAGTCCCACTGCGTGATCAGTAAATTAGACAACAGATAGTGTGTGAAGACTTCCATTGTACTAGTGTAGTTTATTCAACGCAAGGAGCTGCACAGGTTCTCCGTACAAACACTTCACTGCGTAGGCACTGGCAAGAGCAGCAGTTACTATTCAACTGTATGATTGTGTGTTAGCAGTTTACGTTTACTTTGCTGATGTACCTGCATTTTCCATCCTGCCACACTCTACTGCACTGTGTGTGCGAGTGTGTGCGCGTGTGTGAGTGTGTGTCTTGTCTTGGGCCATTGACAGTCCCTGGCGTCACAATAGCGTCTCTCTTGTCACTTTCACAATTCACCTGTCAGTATTGCAGACATCAGACAGCCAACTCAAACTCCTCTCCATGAGTTTATGTGTCAATCATTTCTAGTCATTAGCAGGCGATCTGCACTGAGCAACATCAGTAGAAATGCAGAGTGTGAGCCCGCCTCTCAGCCCCTTGAGTACAGCTCACTCCAAGGCTGACTAGCAGGAGTGCTGCATTGTGTAACATCAGTAGACATGCAGAGGTGTGAGTCCGCCTCTCTGCACCGGGAGTACACCTCGCTCTGACTAGCAAGAGATCAGCACTATAAGCAACATTAGCACGCAAGCACCACACCACCCGACGACAAAACCTGCATAGATTACTAATAGTACTCTTGTTTGGTGCTGTCAGCCATGGCCGCGGCGTGAGCCAAAAGCACTTTCTAGCACTTCTTGTCCCCTGGTCATCTGTCCAAACTGGCTGCTACCCATCATGAGCGAGCACGTGATTCCAGCTCCCACTGGCTAAGGTAAGGGTTGCTCAGCTGTGGAACACTCTGCATACAGTACTGACGGCCGTCGAAGAATGAATAGACGGGATTTTTATCAGGTGCGGAGAACTCTTATGTACGTGGTGATTCAACTGTATATACAGTTCCGCATCCAAAAAATCGAATGGCGAAAGCCACACGAACCCTGAACCTGCAGTCCTTCAACACCTGACAGAACTGTATCAAGTATGATCCGTGCCATTCGTCTGCTCTGCCGGTTGAAAAATCATATGAGATATCGCATACTAGTCCAGTATATAAGTGAAACGTCACTGTATATTGCAGTAGCATTTTTAGCAATCTAGTAGCAGCACACTGCATGTGCTTACCACGTCAGACCAGATTACTATGTGCTATAACAGATTAATGTGTGCTATAACAGTACCTGGTGGCATGTTTCCTGTCTGACACGTAGCTCGCCTAGTTGCAGTAGTAGTAGAATCTATTCTCGAAGCTATACAAAATTGTGTGTGGGTGTATGTGTGTGTTTGCATGGGTATGTGCATGGGTGTACGTGGGTGTCATTGAGAAAACACGTCGGGCTTTGCGTGAATTGAGCACCACATTGTCTTCTTTGAATAATTGTTGTGGTATCATTATCTTTATGAATCTAGCACGTCACGGTGGGTGCGATGTAGCACATCATAGCATCACAAATTGCATATAACTGTTCCTTTGCAAACTTGCACACTTTTGCATACCTGATGAGGGCACTTTTCAAAACTTCATGAATGGGTCTGCTCCCACACTGGAGCTCGCGCTATTCCGCCGACTTGACTTGACACTCGACTGACTCACGACTACCATCCAGAGAACACGAGAAGTCCATGGAACCTTCGACTCGGCAAACCTGCAAGCAAGCACTATTCCCTGTTCAATACACAGTGTTTCGGGGAATTTTCCCTCATCAGATGAGCTTGAGCCGGCTGAGGAATATTGTGCTTGAAGAGCACCAATTTATTATAACTACCGTATATTATAGTACTCCCCAGGCACCAACATCACCAAGTGTACAAACTGACAGAGACGCTCCATTTCCAGCGCGACAAACACCTCGTGAATACCAGGTAGCATCGTGCGTCAGTGTCGCTCAGTGTTGCAATAATTGATTCAGAATTCAGTTCGAGTTGGCAGAGGGAATGGGAAGATAGCGAGTCTGCTCTGAGACCTTTTTTTCTATGAATGAAGCTGCAGGAAGTCTCACCACTGCTACTATGCTAAAGACGGTACGCAATTAGCGTCTGGCTGTAGCCAGGGCCCACCAAGCTGTACTTCACATGCGAGTGTGTGTGTGTGTGTGGGAGGGGGGGGGGGGGGTTACGTAGGGCCGTATTAAAACTCATCGTGAGACGCGCAATTCCTGGTGCCCTACCCCGTTCAGTGTGTTTGGTGGGGCCTTTCACGTGACGCGTTCGGCTGAGATCCAGGGCCTCGTCACCACATGCTCTCATTCGTCGCGCAACACAAACCGGCGATGGAACCTCTCTGTTATACTTGAAGTACATGTGAGCGACATTGAAATATTGGTTTCAACGGCAGGAATATGACATAAGGCAACTTGATAGAATTTGTATGTTACCGAAGGATATCTACAGGGAATGCATGGAGAGCGGTAGTGTGGGCTCGACTCCCATAATTATGGGTGGAAAGTAAAAAAGAAGTAAAGAAAAAAGGTACGCCCATAGAATACTGTAAAACCGGAAAGTCTAACGAGTCACAACGTCTAACGTTTTAACGTCCAATTATTTTTCATTATTTTAAAAAAACCGTTATCGCTAGATTTCTGTGCAAAGATGCTCATACAGATGGGTGGCCAGGTAGCCATCGTTAACCTTTCTGCACGCTATCATGCCAAAATTACAAAAACGTTAAACTTTTTGGTCGTTACACTTTCCGGTTTTACAGTATAGAAACTCGGGCTTTGATCCAATAGTAAAAGAGAAATAGACCGATAAGTTACTAATCCGGTGCCGTTCGACATTCTTTGTTGCCGAGATACATAGCTCATGCACACCTTCGTGGCGCATCCATTGGAACTTTCCGCATCTGAGCCTTCCAAGTTGGAAGGTTGTTGGTTGGAGCTTTGTAGATGTAATGAGGTTGAAGACACCACTGCAGCTGTAGTTATGGTTTATAAATATGGTGGTAAAGACACACCTGGCATTATGGCGGGTGTGTCTTTGCCACCATATTTATCAATCTTTGCAGATGTGGTAGAACTAGGTGTAAGGTCGTCGATCAGGTCGTAGAATGTCTCAATATCCTGGTCAATTGTGTGCCTTGTCTCACTGTCTGACTGTATATTATCTGATTACCTTGGTGGACTGTTAGTCAGAACTAGTTCCCGTAGCTATGCAGAATACGTTACTTCAGTAACGTCTGGCGCTAGCCAGGGTCCACACAGCTTTAATTTGGTGTTTATTTTATTTTATTTTTTTGTGGTATCGGTATGCCTGGCGCTATCCCGTACCTGTCCCGTATCATCGTGAGTACAGTACCATCACGAGAATGAGTTTGTATGCAGGGAATGCATGCAGGCCGATAGTGCAGTGCATCGAGCATTCAAGAGTTGCGCAGTGTAGACACGATACTGGTCAAACGAGCTAAGACAGAGATCCTTGTCGTCAAGTCTGTCGAACCAGGCCTCAGGCAAACTGGCTGTTTACGAGTGTCCAGATAGCGAGCAGGGAAGTAAGCGTGCACCGGTATGCTGTGAAGTATGGCTGCCCTTTCCAGGCCTCAGTCAAACTGTTATCAAATTGGCTGTTTACTACTGCCGAGATAGCGCGCCGCGTGTCAAGCGTCGCGTCCTGAGAGAAATCTGCATGCACCGGTAAGCTGTGAAGTATCGCTGCCCTTTCATGTCCAGGGTTCTACCGCATCTGATCTGTCTCGATAAGCGGTATGGCTTGGAATGTGACAATACCACAACGCCCGAAAACGATGCCTAAACGGAACGAAATGGAAACGCACTTCAAAATGTTTTGAACCGTTTTCGTTCTCGCGTAAACGGTGAAAAAGGTGAAAACGATTGGAAACAGAGCGCGGACATGGAAACCATTCCGCGCAGGACTATATTTCGTGGGAAATACCCAACCCTTGCGACCATCAGCACTTGCCCACTCCAGCTAACGTGTTACTTCCCGCCCTTGCGCCAAGCCAGCACGTGATAACTCCACTCTCCGGGCCGCTGATCGCCCGTTTTTCGTTTTCGTGCAAACGGTTCAAAATAATTTGCCATTCTCGTATAAACGGTTTGAAAACGATTCGAGGACAGCCGGTTTAAGTGAGAGAAAAAACCAATCCGGAATAAATTCTGCAAATACTTTGGCCTAACTCATATTCAAACTGATTGAAACGTTTTTGCAATACAATGATATAGCCAATCAAAGGAAAAAACATCTCCATCAGTTCTAATAAAATTCACGATGAGGTAGGCAAAAAAACATAGCGTAGGACTCTTAGCTTCCAAACTCTCTCGTAAATTTAATGTCTTTTTCTGTTTACATAGAATATAGAGTAATATGTCTTTAGCAGTGAGCATTGGTTAATAATTGCCTGGTCCATATTTCCCTCAGACCTGTGAAGAGTGCATTTTTACAAAGATAAAAGTAGTAAGAAGCCTTAAGGCAAATCACGTTGAAAAAAACATTAAAACAACTCTTATCCAGTTTCATGAAAAAAAATGATTAGCAAATATGAATATTTTAAGCAGAGGAACCTACTTTACTTGCTTAGATCAATAATTCACAGCAGCATTATGGCGGTCAGCTGACCCATGTGAGCCCATGTGAGCCATGCATCACTAACCATAAGCCTCTGTCTGTCACACTGCAGCAGCCAGCAGGCACTTATGCAGCACATTCACGCTCTTCTCCTTGGCTGTACGTGATCAGGTAGAATGGATACGCCTGACAGTTGTTGTAGACCATGTAGACACGTGTTCCCTTGGTAACGCCGTTCACTGTGTCGTAGCGTATGTCACCTGATTAGAAAGAGAACAGCGCAAAGAGAAGTTATGTATGGATGATGTAGGAAACTGAGATGGCAGGCGTGCACGTGTGTGTGTGTGTGTGTCTGTGTGTGTTTGTGTGTGTGATTACGTATGTGCGTGTGTGTGTGTGTGTGCGCGTGTGAGCTTGAATGTGTGTATTTGAGTGTGATAAATTCAGAGGTCAGATAGAGATAGTAAAAGAGAAAAGGGAAATTAACAGTAGCAGCGACTGAGAACAAAAGACATACATATGGACAAAGGACAACATACATGGATAATGATATTGATAGATAACTTAGAAAGAGATCTGAACTGGAAAGACGTTTTGGTATGAGTAGTAAACTGATAAACGAAGTGCTTACCAAAGGAAGCTGAGTACTCTGCTGGTTTGAGAGGGGGTACACGGAGAGTCCTGTCTTTTTTCAACTGAACACTGTCGCCGATAAGGACCTGGGCGGGCAGAGACAAAAAGGGGGAAAATATAACAAAACATACCTGAAGGATGGCTAATTGTAGCTGGTAAAATGTTAAGCGTTTTCTGAATCAGAACCAGTTTGTGATGAAAGATTTTAGGTTTAAAAATGCTGACTTATACTTAACTCTACTTCACTACTTGCAAAATTTCGATTGCCGCGGCAAAACAGTGGCGAAACCACTCCTTTCATTAAAATCGCTACAATATCGCCAGCGCTGAAATGTTGTATTTCTCGCAGCGGCCAACTACCCTTCACTTCGTGTGTTGACGCTATTGCTGTCTATGTGTATGTGTATGCCGGTATATGTGGAGCGAAAATAGCCGTTTACAGTAATTAATTAAGACTGGTTACTGTGCTACACATCGAAGATAGAGAGAAGAGACAATCGGTGAATGATGGCAAGAGCTTCACAAACTTGAGAAACTGAACTGCTGGTGTGTGCACGTGATTTCTCTCCACTCAAGGGCGGTGCAGTCGCTCTGCCTCAATTAAAACAGATCGTTGTTGTGCTCCTCCTAGCTAGACAAAACCTACTACAGACAGTGAAGCTAATTTGTTGATCATCATGTGATTACACCTAGGGCTTCTTGATGCCATAGATATATGTCTACTGTACGGAGATGTTGAACCAGCTTGCCATGCGGACAGATCAAAAGGAACGCAATGTACAACACATACCCAAACGCATATGCACATGAAGGCATACGCACATACAAACACACATACGCAGACACACAATAACACACGCATATAAACGCACAATCAAATCCCTTACCTGAGCAAGAAATACTTGCTTCTTGCCATCAGGCAGATTATGGGCGAAGGCGTTAGAATAATTGGCCTCAGTAGCAAAATAGTTCGCTTCTCCCCAAATTCCCTTGGCCGAGAATCGCATGTCAAATCCGACTTCACTCTTGAATATCTGCAGTACAAAAAGAGTGAATGATAATTAGTCTGTAGAAATCTGGACATTGAGTGATTGGTAATGAATGGAGAAGTAAATGGAACTCGGGCAGGCAAAGTATTACAGGCATATTCCAGCCTAGTCTCAGGCGAACCGTGAAAACCACTCGGTAAGAGTATTCAGTTTTAAGCTCAGATATTATTTTCTGATAATTTGGTTTCGATGTAAAATGGTTTCAGATCTGTTCTGGAACCTTTTTCCCAAATGAAGCTGGAAGAAGCCTCACTCCTGCCACTAATTTTGTTTCAAGCTGTAAAAGAAAAAGAAAAGCTGGGCCATCTCTCCGATTTCGCTCAAAGTTTTTAAGTAAGTCTCCTTTGTGGTCTTCAACAACCATGGAAAAGGACTCGTTGCATAACTGACGGACACCTTGAAACTGGAGACCACCTCGAAATGGGCCCAAAATACGACTGAATATTGGGTCCAAAACGAGCGCTCGTACAGCGTACACGATTGAGCTGAGAACAAACAACCACCATGCCAACATTACCTCACCTGAGTAGTCTTCACATCACCACCACATAGAGCCATGGCTACATCCAGGAAACCAATGACTATCATCTCCAAATATCACTAAATTGCATCGCTAAAATAGCCCAATTTCAAGGGCCATAGCGGGAACAATTTACGACGTCTATTATTGTGAACCATGCACTGCAGGACTCGAATCTCCACCACCACCCAGAACATGTATCGTGAAAGGTGTTCAACGTTTTCTGGGAATAAACAAATTTGAATATTTTCACTTCGCCACATTGCAACACTGCCAATTTCGTACCCCACGACTGAAAGCGCCTCCTCAAGCTCCAACACCAGGCACCGCTCCAGACGCGAGCACGCCAAACACTGCAGCGTGGTTACCTCTGCCGAGTCTGACAAGAAATTTGAACTGACAACCCTTGTCACTCCAAACAGCAACCATTTCCTTCCCTGAACGACTCGAATTTCACTAGCAGCAAAGCTCTGCAGAAGTGCAAAAATTATTGAAAAATCTCGATTTTTGCAATCGAAGCACGATATTTTTTGCGTCTTGAAACTGGCCGTGCGCCAACCACCACGTGACATTGCAGATGGACGGATTTGATCGAGTTGATCGACAATCAAGATTAGAATCAAAACCATGCGTGTAGGTGTGTGTGTGCGTGTTCGTGTGTGTGTGTGAATGTGTGTGTATGTGTGCGTGTAAGCTTGCATGTGTGTAGTTGTGTGCACGAGAGTCAGAGATCAGATAGAGACAGTAACATAGAAAGGGAAAGACCTACTTGCAAATTTGAGCGAAATCGGAGAGATTCCCCAACATAGCGTTTCTGGTTTTCTCAGACATGCTCTCTTAAGTTACTTTCCTTCATTTAGATCATTTAGTTGATTGTTCATCACGATTCCTAGAAAATCCAGTAACTTTCATTGAGGCAGCTAAAGTTGAGCTTTAAAGGTGAAGTGAATGACAGTGAAAAATTGTTAGTGTTGCTTGGCTTTCAGGTGATGCATCTCAGCTCACCAGCCAAAGGCTGCTATAAACTGTAAGAAGCACTTACGCTGAAAGAGCAGTGCAAATTCCCCTACAAACTTTTCGGTCCGCATACTACACTAGGGTAAAATGCACATGTAAAGATAAACCATAGTCAATTTTGATCTTAGGAACAAACAGTGTTAGAGGCCTCCCGTTTCACAAAGCTCCACAGTGCCGGAGATGCTTATATCCTCACCCAGGTCGTCTTTTCCTCCCTATCCAGAGTTACTTATCAAATCCGAGATTGGTCTCCTGAAATCTTCACTCAAGTTGAGAAGTGAACTCACAACCTCAAGTTTGGAAGGCCTGTGGTCTAGCTACTTTGCCACCCACGCACCTACATACTACACTAATAGGATATCCAGTAACTTGATATCGGATATACAGTGCCTCACCTACACAAGTTCACAATGTTACTGAAAGCGATGCTCCGTTTGACAAAAATGTCCCGTCATTGTGAACTTGTGATGTAGGCTACTCTTCACGAGTTAAGCAATTTCCGATCATACCAACAACTTTGCTTTGCAGTACCTTGGCTATACACGTAGTTATACTTCCGTCCTTTCTCGAAGGTACAGTGCGCTGAAAATTCATTGTTTAAGTTTCAGTTGCTGGAAGTGAACACAAAATCAAGGCAGCTGCGGTGTACGAGGTCCAGTTTACTGTGACGTATGTAGAGAATCAGTTGCTTAAAATAATGCTTAGGCAAACCATGTTAAATACCCCCTACCTTTTCTGGAGCTGTGGTTCGTGTGCCGTGAAACAGAGGCTTGTCTTCTACAGCCTTTCCGTTCTTCTGTCTCAGCATCTCCCTTGTTTGGCAATATCGCGTCCACAGGAACTTGTTCTGAATACGCTCCACATGATGAATGCGAGCTGATGGTAGGGATTGGTGCAGAAGTGTTTGGACTAGATGATATTCATCTCCACTTGAATTCACCTGTATTAAGGCAAGAATAAATTATTTGTGTGCTGAAAAATTAATTTAGAGGAAAAACATATCCGAATATAATATTGCGCATTGGTTACTAACATGAAACTCGTTACTAGTAATCCCTTTGCGTGCCATGCATGTAGTGTATGAGCAAAGGGCACTCATCATCAGTTTGGCACCAATACTGGTAATAGCATGATGATGACCCTACACGTACAGTATGGGCAAAAGAAATCCTACCAACGAGTCAAAAGCAACACTGTCTTTCTACTTCAATTACATCATGCATGTTCCGAAAATCTCTAATCTTAATAGAGTGGTTTCATATCCTATCGCATGACCATACTAGGCAGCCATATTGGTTCCAATCCCACTCACACCTTGCGTCAACAGGTCACATGATGTCGGCCATGTTAGTTCAACTGTTCACTTGACGATATCACTTTCCGTGCAAATTGAGGCATGTGATAAAAATACGTGAAACCACTCTATATTTCCGTTTAACCCGTCACCCTGAGCACGTCAGATTCCCTACTCACCTCTTTCAGTTCCAGCTGTGTATCCTGTGGTTCCCACTCTGCAGGCACTGCATAGTCACTGGAAAGCACGGCTTTCTTCCCTGAAGCCGCTGCAGCCGCCTTGTACAACTATTGCACAACGATACAAACAAAAGGAATTACAGGTCACCCAAGGAAATATTGCATTTCCCAGATCATAAGCGGTACTAGAGTATAAGCCACCCTGTCACGAAATACAGACATCTATCCCATTTACCACCTTTGCTGTCACCAGTGTGGCATAAACCGTACCGCGAAAAACCTATGTTTACTGTGCGGGGTTTAGAGAGGAAAAACGAGACTACTGGTATATCGTCTGAAACAATTTTCGCAGAAATATACCCATATTCGTCTGTTATTTAAATTCTGCGATGACATAGCCTTCACGTTTGTCTTTGAGGTCAGCATGCTGTCCTAATTTCAGGACACGGATTGCATTTTCACTTAACACATTATAAAGTTGGAACTACTAAATTGTATGCGTCTACACAAGAACGGACCACCAACCTATTAGGACAAGTCTATTAGTTATCTCCATCATTCCGTGTAGTATTTTGAGAGGAAGGGAACGAAAAATGTTTAAGTACTTGAGACTTGTCCTAACTGGCTGGTGGTGCGTTCTTCCTTAAATGCCTTCGCAGACAATACATTTAAGTTATATTTTCTACCTCCTACCTAGTTTCAAGTTAGCACTATTTTGGATTTATATCCGTGCAGGGAAAGGATCATACAGTGTTTTCGTAACAGGTGTAGTTGAAAAAAGACTCTGAACTCACTATTCGTATTTCACGCTCCTTCACCTTAGCAATGAGAGTCCATAAAGTGTAGAAGAACGCAATGCTCCAGTGGTTCTCTAGTCTCTAGTCTTCGTTCTTGTCTACTCTCTTGTCTCAATACTTCTTCCATATACTTGTTCAATACTACAAAACCTTATGCTCTGCAAGTGGGAGGGGACTACGTTTAGCCGGTATGAACCTACTTTCAAAGAATCGACAGTTCGTAGCATTTCAAACACCATTGTTAGAAGTTCATCCTGCATCATATGGAATGGGATTGTGCGTTGCTGTGTCTCCGCGCAAAGCTGTTCAAGGCCTTCTCGCACCTGAACAACGTCATCGAACTGCCCAGTCAGCGAGAGAGATGGACCGTTGGACTTATCCCCCCGCCCTTGTGTCGCCGCTGATGGCTGCAATATCTGGACACGCACGTTGTGACGCATGGCCATGGCATTGATTCTGGTCATCTCGTTGCACGTTATGAGGTAGCCAAGAAACTTGGACGGGAAATTAAACGTGACGTGACATGGAACATCGGCCTTGGGAAGTGCCTAGAAAGAAAACAAAAAAACATACTTTACGAAGCAGCGCATCATGCCATTGCAAAAACTGTACAGTCACCTACGTGTACTCGTGTGTGTGTGTGTCCATGTATGCGTGTAAGTGTGCCTGCATTCAAGCGTGTGTATATGTGCCAGTGAGGCCATGCACTCTATATTATTTCTTGTTCTTTCTAATCTGCATGTGCCCCTACCGGTAAAGGACCTGAGTATTGACCCTGCTGCCTTGCAGGCGGTGACGTCACTGTGTTTGACCGGCCTCTGTGACGCATGGAGCGAGGCATAGTGCAATGTACAGTTTCGGAATCGTCGACTGCACTTTTAGACGAAATCTGCGAGCCTGGCTTAACGTAGCATGCCTGTGGCCTGTCATGGCGACGAGAGTCTTGCACACCGGATGAACTGCGTTCTGCTGCAAGCAAAGGAATATCACCAAAAAACATGCAGACACAAATTCACACAAAACCACACATAAACGTACATACACACATACACACACACATACACAAGCACATATCAGGTTCGGCCTCATTTCCTCTGCTGCGCTGATGAGTTCAAAAAGAACGAAACAGCATGCTGTCCGCAGATTGAGTATTTCGCTCCTGCTCTTGTAGCAGTTGAGCACTCTTGCGTGGGGTAGTGCCTTTGCTGTTTGCGTTATGCAGAGCTCACTGACTTGTCAGTTTGAGCACTCTGGCAAGGTACGTTCGGGCCTGATTGGAAATTTTTATTTCCATTGCTATCAGGTTCAGCCCCATTTCCTCTGTGCTGCGCTGATGAGTTCAAAAAGAACGAAACAGCATGCTGTCCGCAGATTGAGTATTTCGCTCCTGCTCTTGTAGCAGTTGAGCACTCTTGCGTGGGGAAGTGCCTTTGCTGTTTGCGTTAGGCAGAGCTCACTGACTTGTCAGTTTAAGCACTCTGGCAAGGTACGTTCGGGCCTGATTGGAAATTTTTATTTCCATTGCTATCAGGTTCAGCCTCATTTCCTCTGTGCTGCGCTGATGAGTTCAAAAAGAACGAAACAGCATGCTGTCCGCAGATTGAGAACACAAGCACATATTATACACCCATACACATGCACATACACACACATATTCACACACACACATACCCACACACAAACGCATTGAAACACAACTCCCTGAAGGATCTGGGCATGAATATTCGGAACAACGGAGGATTTTGAGAAGAGTTTGTCGATGCATAGTCAGGACATACATTCGTCACAACCGTGGGTTGCCGAAGGGCTGGTGTTGGGTCAGTCTCCTTTCCTCGAGTATTCCTATATCTATGTACTACATTCCATGCACAGTTGATTCACTGTGTCTACTTTGTTATGCTGGGCTTGGTGAATTTATATCCTGGCTGCTTTTCGGCACTTCATTCTACGGGTCCCGTCAGTACTGTCGTCAGTATAATTATATATACAAGTACCGGTATGATGTCAATATATGGTCAGTCAGTCAATATTATTATGGTCAGTCAGTCAGTCAATATGTATCTAATATTGACTGAGTACGAGGTCAATATAGGAAATAAAAGCCGAGTAAAAGACCGAGGCGAAGCAGAGGTCTTTTACGAGGTCTTTTATTTCCTATACTGACCAAGTACGAAGTCAATATTAGATTTATCACGACGAACAGTCCGTATTTCAAATTCCAGAACGATAACCTCATGAATCCCGGTTTTATGATTGCACAATCGTTGCACCACCACCTACTCATGCAGTGAAAATGCTGCACTAGGCACCGTTCAACTGCGCAACCCCTAAGCAGTCAAATATAAGCAGTCAATATAGCCCTAAGGATGAAATATGCAGGAATATTTGACTGCTTAGGTATGGCAAAAATATATGCGAGTCAATACTAAGGGAGTGATAAATATTATTATGGTCAGTCAGTAAGTCAATATCATGGTCAGTACCTGGTCAGCACATGTTCACCTGGTCCGTGTATAGTCAGTTTATAGTCAGCACCTGGTCAGTGCAGAGTCAGCACCTGGTCAGTACCTGGTCAGTGTATAGTCAGTGCATAGTCTAGACCGGTACATAATCAGTAATATCAGTTCCGTCAGGTTCCGAAAAACTGGGGGGGGGGTGTGGGGGGGGGGAGGGGTTAGCTTGCCAATCGAGGCCATTACTATTTTCATGAACTGCAGTCCATGCACGGTTTAGTCGAAGTATATTATACATTGATATGCTGTGCTTGATAACATCTTACCCTGGCCCTTCTTCTGCGCTACGTTCTTCTGCGCTACGTTCTTCTGCGCTTCTTAACCTGGCCCTTCTTCGGCGCTACGTTCTTCAGCGCCCGAGAGTACTGTAGTTAGTGCATATTCGGGACATTCTCTGCTATTTGCACTTATATTCACAAGGTGCTGGAAACTGCCAAGCAAAACATATACCAACTCTATGCTGTTGACATTGCCTTCTTCATCATCGGACTGGACGTTTCTGCTATGTTAGAGGACCTCCAGGACAATCGTGCTGCCCTGGAGCCCCTTTTAAATCAGAAGAGACTCATCATGAAACCCGACTAAACCCAGTTTCTCATTCTGCAGCGGTGGCGCAGTCTGCCAGGAGTGCAGGTACCAAGGCGCTTGACCTGTAAAGTACAGGCTCTTACCACTACTAGCACTGTCAAATACCTTGGCTTGGTGATAGATGACAACCCGACCTTCTAGCCACAGGTTCAGAAAATGTGGAACTCAGTGTTTGCTAAATTTGCTGCTTTCCAATACGCCGTAGAAAGGTAACCAATGAATCGATTCAAAGATAACATTCCACTTGTCTATTATTCAGTCATCTTTAGACTCTGACAGTGATGCTTACCTACATTGTGAATGCTCAACTCTGCACAAAAGGGTTGTGACTGTTAGTCACATAGCAATGAAGAGCTCGATCGTAACACGCCCACTGAACTAGTTCCTGACCCAGCATCTTGCTACTCCTCTTCTTCAATCCTTTTACCTGCTTAGGGTAACTACACCTGGTGACCAGGCTTTCACCCCGGGCAAGGCACAAAGAGCCTTAGTTCTCCCACTTGTTTATACGCAGTATGACATGTGTTCTATTTCCCATGTGGCGGCCAGCAGATTGAAATCTCTTCCACTTGACTGTCGCCAAGCCCAGTTTCGCGCTCTGCTCCTAAACATGGTTA